TTTTTTTTTTACAATATGGATTTAATATTTTTTATGATTTGATAAGATAAACAAATCTATACTTAACTTTGACAAATAAAACAAATAAATACTTTAGTAAGTATTTAATGTATATACTAAATAGAAATATATTTGGTATAATCAAATACCAAATATAATCAAATAAGTCAAAGTGTGCATTTTTATTTGGTATTTAATTTTTTTATTATTAAATTATTTTATTATACTTACATTTTTAAAATAAAACAAATAAATAAATCAATTAAATAAATAAAATATTATAATACCAAAATAGTAATGACATTTAATGCAGTTGACTTTTCTGGATAATAAATGTAGTAAAGAGAATATCCTTTTATATAATATAATACGGAAATAGTAATGCAATAAATGCTGTTGACTTTTCTGGCTACTTAATTTGGTAAATAGTACCCCTTTAATATAAGTATAGATTATTATATTCCTACTTTATTTACTCTCACACACACATACATACGCATTTAATAATTATATTGTTGTTATAAAATAAATAAAATAAAATAAAATATACCACAATATAAGATTTAGATGAAACTTTACGGATTATCTCCAAAAAAAGGAAAAAAAAGGGGAAAAAAAAAGAAAAAGAAAACGACAACACACACAATTACAAAAACAAACCATTATTTAATTCCACGCAAACACACGCACACCCTTTTGTTTCTTGTTCCGAAAACACGCGCACACAGTTGTTACAATTTCATGCCGACGCCCGTTAGCGCCGCCAGGCAATGCCTGACGCCGGAGGCGGCAGCGGCCCTCGACGACGCGGTGGCGGTGGCCCGCCGCCGCGGCCACGGCCAGACGACGTCGCTACACATGATCTCCTCCCTCCTCTCCCTTCCCAGCTCCTCCCTGCGCGAAGCCTGCGCACGTGCCCGGCAAGGCGCCGGCGCGTACTCTGCTAGGGTTCAATTCAAGGCTCTCGAGCTCTCGCTGACAGTCTCCCTCGACCGGCTGCCGTCGATTTCGTACAACCGGACCGAAATCGGGCCGCCGGTTTCCAACTCCCTGATGGCCGCCATCAAGAGGTCGCAGGCGAACCAGAGGCGGCAGCCGGAGAACTACACCTTCTACCACCAGCAGCAGATGCAGCAGAAGCAGCTGCATCAGTCGTGTTCCTCCTCGATCCCCGTCGTGAAGGTCGAGCTCCAGAATCTGGTGGTCTCGATCCTCGACGACCCTCTGGTGAGCAGGGTTTTTGGGGAGGCGGGCTTTAGGAATTTCGACATAAAAATGGCCCTGCTCAGAAAGGGGGCCGGCGGGTTCTACACACCGCAGGTGGGCGGTTGTACCTCGAGGTACAAGCGGCCGAACCCACCTTTATTTCTGTGCAATTTTCCTTTCGTGGGCTGTTTTCCCGGGGACGATGAGAACATGAGGAGAATTTTCGAGATTATGAGGAGGGAGAAAAAGCGGTGCCCACTTCTTGTTGGGGTTTCCGCAGGTCATGCATTGAAAATGTTGTTGGAGAAGATGAGTAAAGGCTTGGGCTTTTCGGATGGGCTTTTTAGTGGGCTGAGGGTTGTTTGCATTAAAGATGAGATCTTTAGGTGTCTGAATGTGGATTTTGATGATGGGCCATTGAGATTGAAGGTTGAGGAGGTGGAGAAAATGGTGGAGGGTTGTAAAGTGGTGGTGAATTTTGGTGATTTGAATGAATTGGGTGTTGACAGTGATGAGAATGTTGATGGTGTGAGGATTTTGGTGAAGAGATTGGGTAAATTGGTTGAGGTTTATGGTGGGAAACTGTGGGTAACTGGAGCAGCTGCAAGTTACGAGGTCTATTTTAAGGTTTTGAAGAAATTTCCTACAATTGAGGATGATTGGGACCTGGAAATTTTGCCCATAACTTCATTTAAATTTTCTGTGGGTGGTACATATCCCAGATCCAGGTAAAACTCAATCTATTATTCATCTTTCTTTGTTTTGTCTAATTTTTGAAGTAATAATCAATTTATTCATCCTTTGTAGTGTTCAAGTTTTTGAAAACTGCATCTTGTACATGTAGTTATTATAATTTGGATATGTTTCCTCTTTCAGTAGTTGTTCTTTTGATCAAGTGGCAACCAGTATGGATGTTATTTAATGTGAGGTATCTGTGTTTTTAATTTCTTAGTTGTACTTTAATGCAAGCATTTATTAATATAGGACCATGAGAAATGATTTTCTGTACCAGGAGATAGATTTCTCTGCCGTGTCTTTCGAGCGGACGCTAGATAATTATTTCTTGGAGCTGTCTAAGAGTGTTGTTATTTCACAGACTGAATTTCGACAGAGCTTGAATTTTATAACTGGTCTTGACTAGCCTATTGGTCTCTGAAGATCATTTAGAATGAAGAAAAATGAGCTTAAGGGACCATTGTTTACTAGTTGTTCATTGATCAAACCTTTTAATTATGGTTTGCAATATTTTTATGATGATAGGCATTATATTACGGTGTATAAATCCCCAGGATGAAGTAGTATTATCTGTCCCTTCAATAATTTAATTTGTCAGAAAAAATATCACATGCCTCAACACAGATGAGCATTAAGTACTCTTTTCTGCATTTGTGGTTCATTTCTAGAAGAATAAAGAGGATCAATAGTGGTTCCCCACTTACCCTCTTAGTGACTCGAACTTGGGACCTATTGGTCTCAAGTGAAGGGTGCTACCAACCGAGCTACGCCTTCTCGTCAATGTTTAAAGGATCTTGGGCTGTGATCTTTGAGTGAACGAATACAATCAATATTTTTTTTTCTACCAAACAGACCCGACAATCACGACAAAACACTTCGTTCTTTTACGCTGAAAAGAAAGATTCTCCTACCACTTAGCTTCAAGACTGGTTTACTACTTTTATATCTTCCCAAATTGCAGTACCACTCGGCTGGGATTTATAGCTTTAACCACAATAAGAGTTATAACATAAAATCTACTCGACCAAATTAAGGTGATCGATTTATATGATTTCATAATTCTTACTGTAATTTGCAAGAACGAACTTAGTAAACGATTCTTTTATTTATTTATTCATTCATGTCTGATCTTTTCTATTAATGTATTCGCACCGGCATGTCATAATATATGAAAAAATTACAGCTTGATGGAGTCTTTTGTTCCACTTGGCGGTTTTTTCTCAATGCCACCAGAGACAAAAAGTCCTTTGAGAAATGATTGCCGAGATTTGGCGAGGTGTCATTTGTGCAACGAGAAGTACGAACAAGAGGTAGCTGGCCTTTCAAATGCGGAACAGTATCATCAGTCCAGTTTGCCTTCATGGTTGAACCCAGCTGAGCCCAGCCCGCAAAGCAGTTCGCCTTCCTCAAAGGTTTGTGCTCTCAAAAAGAAATGTTTTTTTCGACTAGAATTTGGGCTGTACGTGAAAATTTAAAATAGACTGATTTCACTTCAAGTTTTTGGTTTTTTTTTTTTTTATTTTTTATTTTTTTTACAGTTCTAGTTCAAAATTTAAACTTTTGCAGTTAAATTAAATGTCTGAACTCTTATTTCTTTTATTTGCGATAAATTTAAACTGCCCGAGTCGACCTGATTAATGTGAAAATAAAATCATTACTAGTGCAAACATATAAAGGTTAAGCTGGAATTGTGTAAAAGGGGTAAAATTTGTGTAACTAGAATTTTTCTGTTCCATAACAAGTCATAGCAACTTGATTCCAATATTTGCTTCAGTGCAGGGCGAAGATGATAGTTTGTTACTGAATGCAAAAATTACCGCTCTCGGTAAGAAATGGGACGATATTTGCCGGCAGCATCACTTTGGTCAGACTTTCTTAAAAGGATATCAATATACACACTTCCCGGGCAAAAGAGAAAACGAGACCAACAATGGCTGTAACAGCTCCACTAGATCACCAAACTCATCATCAAAAGGAATTGGTTCTTTGGATATCCACTCAAAGCCCGATAAAAATCTGAATACTTTACCTAAAAACAGCGAAATCCCAGCCGAGGCTGAAGGAATAAACGATTCTTTTAATGCCGGTACAAATGATGTCCTTCAAAGGTCCCCTTCTTCAGTCACTTCTGTTACTACAGATTTAGGTTTGGGGATTATTTCAAACTGTCCATCTCAGCCATCATCATTTTACCACGACCCAAGAGATCCCAAGTCGATCTACAAAGCACTTGTCGAGAGAATTTGTTATCAAGAAGAAGCTATTAGTGCCATAGTCGAAACAATTTCCAAAAAACCTCAAATGGGCCCCCGGAATGTATGGATTCACATCCGGGGGCCCGATAAGTTGGGCAAGAAGAAACTAGGCCTGGCGTTAGCCGAAATACTTTACGGAAGCAGAGAATGCCTGGTCTATGCCGACCTCAGCTTCCAAAACGTGTCGACTCGTGTGGAGACTCTGTTTCATGAGAAATTACCGAATAAATACGAATTGAGAATGAGGGGTATTACAGTCATCGATTTCTTGGTCGAGAAGCTGAGCAAAAAGCCTTCAGTTGTTTTCCTTGAAAATATCGACAAGGCAGATCTCGTGGTTCAGAACAGCCTGTTGGAGGCTGTGAAGGAAGGAAGATTAACCGATTTAAAGGGACGTGAAATAACTATAAGCAATTGCATATTTATCGCAAGTAGCCAAACGGCACGAAATGGAAAAGAAGAATTGAATAAATACTCCGAGAAAGATATACTGAATGCTGAGGGCAGTTTACTTCGAATGATAATCGGGTTCGATCTTAACGAGGACCCCACAAAGCAAAACCCGGTTTTTTTAAACAAACGAAGGCCTATTGGTGAAAACACGATCTTAGATTATCGTGAAAGAGCACGCAAGGCATCAAAATCGAGTCTTGATCAGTTGGGGCTTGATCTGAACCTGCCAGCTGATGACGGTGGAGAAAAACTCGACATTTCCTCCGGAAATTCCGAGTCAGATTCGGGTTTTTCGGAAAGTTCAACCACTTGGGTGGAGGATTTTGAGGGGTTAATTGACCGGACAGTGGTTTTCAGGGCGGTTGATTTTGACGGGCTCTCAGAGAGAGTGTCTGAGGAGATCAATTCGTATTTGCGATTTGCAGGTGGGTTCGGGTGCTCGGTCGAGATAGAAACGAACGTGATGTGTCAGATTCTGGCGGGAAGGTACTTGTTCGGGAACAAGAGAGTCGAGGATTGGATCAAGAATGTGGTTCGGAGGGCATTTTCGGAAGTTGTTGGGAAATTCGGCACGAGTGCTTGTTCGTTCTTGAAAATTGTCGGGTGCGAAGGCGCCTCGTGTGAGGAGCTACTTCCGGGCCGGATTTTCGCCGGGTAGATTTTTTTTTTTTATTATTATTAGATGTATTTATGTAGATTTTTTTCCTGAAGTATGCTCTGTGTAATACTTTCATCTCTGTATGTAGCAGCCTAGTAAAATGTACGTGCGATGCACGTGGTATCGAATGATTTTTGCTGAGTAAGTTTGTAAAATAAATTAATTTATTTATTAAACATATCATTACAGGAATGAAATAAAATATAGAACAAATGAATTCATATGTGATTTTTTTTATTTATAATTAGCGTAATGATGTCCTAATATAAAAAGAGTGAAATAACGTTTTACAACCCCCAACTAAAATATATAAAAAACAAATCCTTAATACAAAAACCATTAAGATTTTCTTTCATCTTTCTTATAAGAAACATTCATACTCGCTGGAGTCTAATATATCAATACTATTGCAAAATTTCTCTTAATTCATTTGGCAAAACGCTAATTTTATTAAAACACTTAAGAAACATTCTGACTCAACATATAGTCATGATCGTGTAATCTTTATAATAAGACACTTCTACTAACAATGCATAAATATCTCTATAAAATAACTAATTGTGTCATTAAAATTGCTGGTATTTTTTTATCATTGTATAAACTACTACATTCTTCTGTCTCTAGACATACTGATGCCTACCCATTTGATGCATCGCCCCACGAGGTGGGAATGAATTTTATCTCTAAATAAAAGTCGACTTTCCAAAATTTTGGTTACATGTACTTCTCCCGAGGTGCTAAATTATTTTTTGAAATCATCATACATTACCTGAAAGTATCTCTAAAGTAATTGCACATATGTTTGAGTACAATATACCAGTGAGATTATAAATATTTCTATAAAAGTGACAATTTCATTCGAACATTCAAAATTGTTTTGATACTCCGACATTGTTATTTATTTGGAATATAGACGAACAATATAACCTATTATTTGAAAATTATTGACCATCATGGCTCTTGGAATGATTTTAGAATTGTTTATCATAATATCTTTCACATTCGTTTGAATATGCAATATTTGTGTGCTTAATAACTTCTTTAATGCCTTTATTGTCCAACATTATTCATCATACAAAATGATTATAAAATTCAAGATAAAGATCATTTCTTTATTCTCCAACAATGACAAAACAAAATAATTAAAACAATGAGAAAATATTGAGAAACATATCATTTGTTAAAATATTTGATAAGAGAAAAGTTAGAATTCTATTATATTACGATATTCTTAGTCATCTGCAAAGTTTATTATTATGGAGTCATGATTAAAATATACATTATGTATTACAAATCAAAATTAATTATTTAAAATTAAAAATAAATAATATAGGATCATTATTTATGAAAACTAATTTCTTACAGAGTCCCTATATTTAAACGCTAGCAGCAAAAAAGTAGCAATTTTCAAAGACTTTTTGTTCGTAAATATTGATATTCAAACTTCTCTAAGAAAATTCACACGTATTCTTTTTCTCATTGTGTTACTATTATATTATTTGTTTCTTATTCTATAGATAAATAATATTTTATTTGCTAAATAATTAAAGCACATTTATATGTATTGCGTTATTTTTTGTATGTGTTTTATATAATGATGTTTTCAAATTATCTTTTTATTAGGCTGCAACTAGAATCACATAAGATATAATGTAAATTTAATATATTTGATAAAAATGTACTTTTTATACGAATTATTAGATTAAAAAGTTTACAATTTTTTCCAATGTTTGATAAAATATTAGGTAACTAAGTCATTTTCATAATCACTGAATATATATATGGTACCACCTTTATAGGGTTCTTTTTCAAGCAGTAATTGAATAATAGTTTAACGTACAACTCATTTATTTGTCTTTTTAATTCACATAGCTAATGTTATCTCATTTCCCTTCTCTGGCCTAGTCTCTTCCTTCTTTTATCTATGATTTCACTTCGCTTCGCTTCGTTTGTACCTAAGGTGCATTCGCCATAGTTTCAGCATTACGGCAAACCAGTGGCAAATATATATCGGGAATGGGCGCTCTAGCCAAAATGTGGGAATAGTTGTAAGTTTACCTCCATTTTTTTTATGTTATTTTTAATATGAATTATTTCAAATCTATGTAAGAAAAATATACCACAAGTTTATCTTATGTTATTTTATACTTAATAAAATTGATTTAACTTGAATAAATAAATTAATATATACTATAATTTTAGGTCAATTTATTATTTTAAAATTATTACTGATATATATATATATATATCGATATAAATAATTATATTATTTTTATTTTATTTGCAATATATTGGTCAACTCAAATATTATTGAAAAGAAATAATGTGATATATTACATATAAAAAGAGTAACAAATAAAAAATATGAAGTATCACAAAATTAAAAAATTTAATGAGAGAAAGTAATTAAATTTTTAATTAAAATTTTTTTAAGATTAACATACCCAATTTTAAAGAAATCTATACCTAAAAGTTCTAGTTAAAATATATGTGTATCTTAAGTATGTTTTATATTTCTCATTAGCCAGTTCCAATTGATATTGTACATTAAGTAATTTTATCAGTATTTTTACTCTTTGATTTAATGAGAGCTATATGTTTTCTCATCATTCTTACCCCTTATTTAGTTATTATAATACTAATAAAATAATTAAGGACCTTTCAAAGTATCTTGTTTGTTTTGAAACAAAAATTACTTATTATCATAAATTAAACGACAATTACATTGAATGTGTTATATTTTCTATCATATCAAAATTTTCATAATAATAGTTGCACACAATATTATATAATAATGCAATTTTTTTTATAGATTTGGAGTCCTACTTTTACTACAAGAAAATGAGAAATTTCCAACGAAAATTACAACAAGAATATAACGATCTTCTTAAGTTGAATTGAGAAAAATCATGTCTTTTGGTTTCTTAAATATATTTTATCTTATTGTGACTGTATTGATTTATTAAAATGTATTACAAAACTAGAAAGGTGATATATTAATTTATAAATTACAAGGACATGTTATTTTGATGGTATATTTTTCCTATTAACTAAATAATGCCCCCAATATGAAATTATTTTAGATCTATCACTGCAATTAGCTTTCCAATGAAATTTCCATTGAATTTTTGCACAATTCCAATGACAGTTTTTCCAACGATTAAAATATGATCCAAAAAAAATCTAATGGAAATTCAAGTAATTGAAATCTTTAAATCCATTAAAGTTCAAGTAATTTAATTTGAACTTTGTTGGAATAACCAATGAAATTTTCCAATAAAAGCAATATTTATGAAATATTCGTTGGAATTTTCTGTAGATTACCTTACCGTTGATTTTTTCATTGCAATATAGCAATTTGTTGTAGTCCTCTTAAACATTAATTTTTATGTAGTATTTATTGATTAATTGTGTTTACAATTTGTCTATTAAAAATATATTAAACACATGAACTTTTTAGTTCCTATATTTTTTTTTTTTCAGAAATTACTCATTATTTTATCTCAAGATTACCTATTGATTTACCAATTGAGTTACATTTCTTACATATTAAATATTTAAAAATTAGAATATTTCCTATTTTATATGTTCAATATGATATTTATATATTATATTAAAATTAATAATATAGCAAATAAAAAGTTATTTAAAATTAGAATTATAAAGAATTTTTTTTGGTAACTTACATGAATAAATGTACAAATAACTATTGTCTATCACATCAAATTTACACATAAAATTATAAGGAGAAAAAACTAACAAGCGTTTAACAACTCAGCTCGTTTACGTCGATAAGTATATTTATAAAAGGTTTATATTTCTTCTATTAATTATAACATTTTTATTTATTAGTTTGTTTCATATTTATTAGTACGTGTCACAACTTATTTATTTTTAATATTATTTATCATATTTAATATTTTTTTAAACTTTTATCTTGTTCTTTTACATGTTCTTAACTGTAGATTTGTCAAAAAATGCATGATTTAAGTCTAGAATTGTTTCAACCATCTGTCTCATTATATATCAATTATTTGTACATCTTATATTATATTATATTTAATTACAATTTTTTTTAATTTATACTAAATTAAATATTTATAATTCATAAATTCATCAATAATATTGTCGAGTCAACTTTTGTTCATAAAATTTTAAAAAACATAATTATTTTCAATTATATGCTTATGTTAAATTGAGAAAAATTATTTTTTTTAATTGTAAATGTATTGATGTGTAACATATATTATAGATGAGAAAGATGACAAATTATTAAAAATATAATTTATAAATTATAATGACATTATGTTATTTTACTGGTATACCTTTTCTATTAACTAAATAATGCCTCAAGTATGAAATTATTTTGTATCCACCACTGCAGGTAGATTTCGAATAGAACTTCCATTGAAATTCTTACATTTCCAGTGACATTTTTTCCAACTGTTGAAATAATGTAATTTGATCTCGGAATAGTCAATGGAGTTTTACAATGACAGCTATACGAATAAAATATCATTTGGTATTTTCAGTGGATGTCTTACCGTTGGATTTTTCATTGCAATGTACCATTTTTTATTCCTTTATAAATTATATTTTTTATGTAGAAGGTTTTTTTATTAATTAGATGTATTTATAATTTTTCTATTAAAAATATATTAAACACATGAACTTTTTAATCCATATATTTTTTAGAAATCGCTCATTATTTTATCGCAAGACTACCTATTAACTTATCAATTGAGTTACATTTCTTGCACATTAAATATCAAATAAGCCCCAGCCACTGTTGCTGGGTATCGACCTCTATTTGCCAAATCCGCTTATGGAGAAAGTAAATCCCTCGTAGCAGGGTAAACTGGGTATAGTTATATCGGATGGTAAGATGGGCAACTCTTCTCCGTCCGAAAGAATCAGACGATTCGCCGACATTCGCTTTCGGAGAATCGTCTTCCTTTTTGGGTTCAGTAGACGGTGTAGCTAAAGCTTCGGGGCACACCCAACCACTCCTGTAAGTGCTACATCGAAGAAAGGAGCTCTCGAGATGAAGCAGCCCTTGCTTTACGACCTGTTTCATCATACCTGGAAGATTTGAAATCTCAAGGCCCTACGGTTCGACTCCTTCTGCGCCGAACCTGGTACCCCAATCCCGATACAAGTAC